ACTCTGAGTGAGATCGCACACACAAAAGGATCAAATTTAAATTAAATGATTGCCATTTTTGAAGAAGATAATTCTGTAGTTCTCTAATCCGGGCTGTTAATATATATTTTGCGAATCATTATAAGAAATAGAATAAAAAACGTGCGTAGGGATCAAATTAATATTTAGGAGAGAAAGAACAATTACGCTGCCGCACTTTGATCAAAAAAATGATATAACTAGTAGGTTAATAAGAGATGAAGGATTAAAATCATTTGAAATTATTTTTATCGAGAACAAAGTTTTAAGGCGTTTGCGATCAAAAGCCAAGTATATTTCAAAAAAATCAACAGTTTTTTTTTTTTTTTTGTCTTTTCCTGACTCAAAGAATATTTGGTTAGAAAAAATTTTTTCTCCAGATATTTCAATATACATATATCAGATATTTCAATATAACATACTAGAATAAGTTACAGTCGAACTCGTTTATAACGAGCACAAAGGGACCGTAACATGTACTCGTTAAATCCGAGTGCTCGTAATAAACGGGTACTTAAGACAGGCGTGTAACCAAAAGAGGGAGGGGGGCTTGGGAGGTCAAATGATTGAATTTACTTAAAATTTAATTAATACTTACTTACTTTAATTACATTAATTAATTTAATCGCGTTTTTTTTTTTTTCGCGCACATTTCTTATCATTTTGAAAAAAAGATAAGACAGAAAGACTAGAAAGATGAGAAAAAAGATTACAAGACGGAAAAATATTGCTCGCTAAAACCGGGTCTTGCTCGTTAAAAGCGACTTCTGTTCCATAGACTTAACATTGATCCAACCAAATATTCTCGTTTCCCTCGGTAAATCCGAGTTCTCGTTAAATCCGATTTCGTTATAAACGAGTTCGACTGTATTAGTAAAATAATAAAATCATAGGAACTAGTACTTAAGTTTTTGAATTTTAACCCTGTATAAAAAGTTCATGTTTATTTCATCATTTTGATATTTTCTCCATTACAATTATACCATACTATTTGCTCGAATTTTATTCAGATGTTGACAAAAGACAACCTGATGACCCGTCAAATTTTCTAACAGTAATGTAGAAGAGTCAGAAGATGTAACAAGTCATTTTTCACTTTAAAAATAATAATGGTAAGAAGGGAGGCAGAAAATAGACCAGTTTATTGAATCAAAATATACAGGCAAGTTCTTCATAATTCCAAATTCTTGGCGTATCAGTTTTATTATAAAGCATTTACTCTGGTTTTTGGAGTGGTTAGTAGTGGTATTAATGTTTTTTTTTCTTCCGTGCTTGAATAAGAGTTTGAGAAAACAATCATATTTTGCATTACACGTAAAGAGGAAATATCTTTCAGATTGTAGTCTCCTCCAGCTTCAATGCACTTTTGGAGTCGAATTTTCCACAGATTAAATGCCTCAAGCCATTCATTTCTTGGAATAGATGAAAAAAAAATGCATTTATAGCCACATCAATCTCTTCTTCTGAAGGAAAACGACGTCCACATAAGTTCTTTTTTAGATTAAAGAATAACCAAAAGTCACACATGGCTAGATCAGGTGAATACGGCGGATGTTCAATCCCTTAATTTGTTCTTGCTTAAGAAACTCAACTGTTAATCCGACTGTATGTGAAGATGCATTGTCATGATGAAGCACTAGTCCCCTAACATTCACTTCTTGTAGAATTTCTGGAAGACATTTAGTGGTATACCAGTTTGCTGTTACTGTCCTTCCAATTCGACGGCTTTGACCAATCCCGTACTTCTGAAGAAAGCGGCATACATCACTTTTTTCAGTGCGCGTTGTCTTTTCATCATCGTGGGATCATCTTCAAAGACCCATACTTTGCTTTCTTGACGAGTTGAAACGTCAAAAAACGGTATGTACGTTTTATCACCCGTTACAATTTCAGAAATGATGCTGTGGTCACCATCATTTAGCAATTTAAGAGTTTCTTTACTGATTTTGGCATGCTCCTCTTTTTGGTGCTCAGTTAGATTATGGAGAACCCAACGGCAAACTACTTTTTTTCATATGTAATTCTTCATGTTTAATTTTGTGTATGGCTGCGGATCTAATGTTAAGTTCCTTCTGTATAATTTGATAGGTACAGCGATTATCATCTTTTAACATTTTTCGTATAGCAGACACATTATCCGGGATTACTGGCCTTCCTGTGTGTTCTTCATCCTGAAGAAAATTGCGACCTCTGCTAAATTCTTTAAACCGTCTGAATACAGTAACACGAGCTGGAGATTCATCACCAAATGCTAATTGTAACCGCTGAACGCATTCTTCTTGATTTAATCCTGCTTTAAAATCGTTGAAAATCATAGCTCGAAAATGTTCTCTCGTCAACTTCATTTTCTCTTCTGTTTAAAATTTATTCTACGCTAAACAAGTTGAAGTAAGTCAGTAAAAAATCGTCTGCCGTGTTAACATACACTTTGTACATATTTTAAAATTAAACAGTTATTTTTATTTTGTAAATTCTTGTCTGCGCGTATCTCAAAAATTTCAGAGTAGCCCTCGTATAACGAGATGTTCTTCTTATTTTTGTAGTTTTTAACTCAACTCGAAAATCAAAGTAACTCGCTATTTACGTATCGGAATAAAACCATATTTATGAAAGTTATAAAAATAATTAATTATAATCAAAATTAAATTGAAATTAAAATGATCAAACTTTGCGTTACACGCTAAGAAAAACAAACGAAAATGTTTTTCAGATTGTTTTTATTGGTATATAAAATAAAATAACTTGCAATTCAAGCATCAGAGTAAAATTATATTTATGAAAGTTAAAAGATTAGTTTATTTTAATTAGGATTAAATCAAAATAATCACATTTTGCGTTACACGCAAAGGAAAACCACGAAAATGTTTCTTTTTTTTTTGAATTGCTTGGTGATAATAGGATTTAAGCTAAATGTTCAGCATCATCTCAATGAAAATATTTTTTTAAACAGCCATTTTTTTATTATTATTATCCTTAAAAGATAGGGTACCATCAGAGTACCAACCATACCAAAGGGTACCAACAGAATGAAAAGCTCTTCTTATTAACTCAACCCGGAAATCAAAGTAAGTCGGATTTTAAGCATCGAAGTATAATTGCTATAAAAATAACCAATTTTAATTAAAATTATCAAATTTTGCTTTACACGCTAAGGAAAACCACGAAAATGTTTTTTTTAAATCGCTTTTATCGGTAATAGGATTCTAGCTAAATGTTTATTATCGAAAAGAAATTATTTTTTAGTAACCAATCATTTTTTTTCATCCTTGTGAAGCTTATCATCTTTGTGAATGAAACGAAACGCCATTATTTTATCTTTGATTCAATTCAGAAATCAAAGTAATTAACAATTTAAGTATCGGAATACAATCATGTTCATGAAAATAAGAAGAGTAGTTTATTTTAATGAAGATTAAATTAAAATAATCAAATTTGCGTTACATGCGAAGGAAAACCACGAAAAAGTCTTTTAAATTGTTGAATGGTTATGGGTTTCCAGCTGAATGTTGATTATTGCAATGAAATTATTTTTTATAATCAAAAATTTTTTTCATCGTCCTTGAAAAACAATCTGTCATCTTACTGAATATTGTGAGACACTCTTCTTATATTAATATATTTTTTTTTACGCAACCCAGGAATCGAAGCAACTTGCAATTCAAGTATCAGAATAAAAGCATACTTATAAAAGCTATTGTAGTAGTAATTCTGCGGTACAAGCTAAGGAAAACCACGAAAACGTTTGTTAGATTTCTTGATGGTAATAGGATTCCATCGAAATGTTCATTATAGCAATGAAATCATTTTTAATAATCAATAACTTTTTTTATCATCTTTGATATATAGCCTATCTAAGTGAATGTTGTGAAATGCTCTAAAATTTTTTTTGTATTTTTGTCCGTAACCCAGATATCAAAGTTACTTGTAATTTAAATACAGGAATGAAATTATATTTTGAAAGACTTTTTAATCGAAAAGAAAGAACGAAAATAATTAGAATTTACATTACGCATGAAAGAAAACCACGAAAAAGATTTAATAACAAACTAATTGAACGTTAGCAGACAATTATGAGGCTCCATCTCAGCAATTATTAACATTTTCCAATTTTTTGTTCTTCATGAAATTAAATGTTATGGGCAGCTTAGACTGCTTATAAAACTGTTCCTTATTTTATTTTAATTATTCTATTTATTTTAGTTATTTTCATATTTTTTAATAAGCCCTTAAATTTTTTTTAAATTTATTCTTTTTATTATTTATTTATTTTATTTTTTATTTCAAGTATTTGAATCTCAGAGCAATATAAAAAAGGAGGGGATACAAGTTTCTATATTCATTGTCTACGAAGTGTTTCGATTGGTTTGAATAAATTATCAAACCGAGCGCGCGCATTACTAAAATTGCGCGAAGCAAAAATGCTGAAANATATAAAAATAAATTTTTAAGAATATATATATATTTTTTCATTTTAAATTTAAAAATTTACAAATTATGAATCTTTAAAAAAAAATGTTCAGAATTTTCTGGCACAGAGACAGAATGTTATTATATTATTTATCATAAAAATTTATAAAAATCAAATAAAGAAAATTCAGTTGAGACCAGTGATGTCAAAGTTCACCCTGACATCCGTTTGGTATAGTGATTGATCTTTCTATCTTTATGTCCTTCTTGTCTGAGTATACACAAGCAAAGGAGGGGATACAAGTTTCTATATTCATTGTCTACGAAGTGTTTCGATTGGTTTGAATAAATTATCAAACCGAGCGCGCGCATTACTAAAATTGCGCGAAGCAAAAATGCTGAAAATGTCATTCTAGTAAGCCTGACTAAACGATTAAGCGATAAAGATGAAAACCATGGTGCAGTCGACCAATCAAATGTCTCTATTTATTAAAAAATCGGTCAGCCAAGCAACAGCCTTTGGAATTTAAAAGAAAACTTTTTTCAAGTGCATCTCATTAGTAACAAAAATAAGCAGTCTAAAACTTATCTTCTTAAAAGTGTTGTTTCTTTTAGCAGATTTAAATTTTGATTTCGATTGTGCTAGTTATTTAGTTATAAGTTTCAGAAAAATAATTAATATTTTATTAAGTGCATTAAACCTTAGTTTTCATTTCAATTTTTCGTCGGTTTATTCTAAAATCTGTGTAGCTGTTTTCTTTCTGGTTTTAGTTAGATTACATGATATGAAAGTCCATAACTTGTTTAAAGCACAAAATTAAGTGCTTTAAACAATGATACTAGTAAAAGTCACTCATAATAAAATGAAAATCAATCAATTTTAATCTATGGTGTAAACCTGATATAGAAAAATTATTTAGTTTTTAAAGTTTGGTTAATTTGATTTCACTGGACAGATCATCATTTTTGTCTACTGTCATAATTTTAGTTTTCGAGAAAAAGAATTTATAATATATATCATGCCAAGAGTTTGCTTTGTACCTGGATGCAAAACAGGTTATGTGAGTGAAAGGAGAAAATCTGCTCGAACATTTTCTCTGTTTAAATCACCAAAGGTAAATGTTTGTTGACTTAAACCTTGATGAAAAATATCACTGCATAAGTAATTAAACTTTTTAAATTATTATAAGCAGGGGTCTGTCTAGGCTTTTCTGAGAGGTACCTATTTTGTGAAAATTTAAACATAATTTGTGAAAAATTAAAAAATTAACACAAAAATATGGATTTATTGTTTCTTAAGGGATAAAAAATTAAATTTTAAGAAAAAGTATTTTGGGAGACTACCGTTTTTCCTAAAATTGAATTTGTGAAGGTACCGCTAAACGGTAGTAAATTCGGCCTGGACAGACCCCTGATAAGTATTGGTGATATTTCCTTATCAGTACCCGTTCACACTAACTATCACCATCAAAAACTCAAGGTATTTTTAAACATTCAAAATTTTCTAAGAAAACTGATATGAACTTGTTTATCCATGAGATTGCAATCATTCCTCCCTGCTATGTTTCTTGTAAACGTCTTATTTGCACCACTGTCCTGTTGCCTTCAAAATATCGGATGCTTTCAAAATTTCTTTTAAAGGCAGTCCAATTATAATAATATAGGGTGAACCGGGGTAATTCACAATCTCTCTGTTTCTGGGGTAAATAATGATCATCTAAGTTTTATTCATAAAAAAATTTTTTTTTTTAAGTGTGAGACATGGACAAGAATTCTTGAACACATTACTAAAGTATAACTACATTTACTTAATAATAGTTTTTTGCTTAATCTAACAAAATAAGTATATTTTAAACTGCTTTCTGTATTTCCCATTTCAAAGATGGGTTTCAAAATGTGCACATTTCTGCAAAGATCCCCCTCCTTCTCTTAATAATAAATATTTTGAGTTACTTTCTTTTTCTTTGATATAAAAGTAGTGTAAGCTTTTGTTTAATTGTTTCACATCTACTGTAAACATTATAATTGATTATAGGAAACTGTATCAAATGTTGCCCCCTACAGATGGGGTAGGAATTATTGATCACTGGAGTAATTCCTGATCATTGTCATTTCTTCCTATAAATAGTATAATAAATAGCTAATTGTCTTTTCTTAAATAACAGTTCATATGTATTAAGTGGAACAACTATGAAATATATTCTAACTGTAATCACAAAATTTGTTTTTAGCTGTATACAAGACAAATGTGTTCCGATTTGCACCATTTCTGGTTTGTCTTACCTTGCTTCTATCTTCATTTTATGTGTGTACATTGTTAGAATAGTTTTTAATTTTATAAATTAGCCTAATATAAATATGGTGAGAAATTATAAGCCTAAAAAGGATACTAAGCTTCGAGAAAGCAAAATGAGTGAATTTCCTGTAATGATTGAAAATGAAAATTTCAGTGTGAGAGCTGCTGCCAGAGTTGTAGACATACTTTACTTAACTTTATACTCTCACATAATGAAGTTAAAAAATCCAGCAAAAGTAACCCATGTGGGAACTCTTTCTTATATTCCAGCAGAACATGAGAATGAGTTGGATGCTTGCCTAAAATGTATGGCACGATGCAAAGATTTTTGGAAAATTTAAAGTGTTACTCTTTATTCCTGCTTTTAAATAAATAGTTTTATTAACTGCTTAAACATATCTTTGTGGTTTATTTGTTTGATCTTGATGTCTTATTTGTTAATTACCATTGTATATTTATTTTTAAACAGTCCCTTAACTATAAAAACTGCTGATCAGTAATTACCACAGAAGTGATCAGGAATTACCCCAGAAATGATCAAGAGAACGAGTAATTCTTGATCACTAAAAATTTAAAATCTTTTAAATACTAATTGGATTTTCAAACAAACGAAGGTAGCATAGGACTCATCTCATATAGCCTCAAACTTCTACTAATTATTAAAATTCTATCTTGAATAGTATTTTCACAAAATAGATGTTTGCATTTTTTGATCAGGAATTACCCCAGGTCACCCTAATAAAAAAATTCCTAATCATTCTAACAATTATTTATGCTATCTTTAATATAGAGACTATGCAAATAGCAAAACTTTCAATTAAGAAAATAAATGTTTAGAAGTGCAAAGACTTCTGAAAATTGTTTTTCTATTTTTATAATTTTAAAACCAATATTTTTTTGTTTACAAACTTACTTTTGTTTTCAAATTAATGTAATATTATAATTAAATATGCATAATTTTTTAATTATGTATAAATTAATTAGGTATGCATAATTTTATGAATATTTTTTGGTGTTTAAAAGAATCCTGTTTGTAAAAAATATGTCATCATAGTAAAAAAGTTTTTAATATTTCCCATTATTAAAGATAAAGGTAAAGAGTCAGAATTCCCATATTCTATTTTGCCGTAAATTTTAGAAAATTAGGATACAATAACAGAACATTTGCAAAGTCCTTTACTAATTTTATATCTTCATAAAATTGCCACATTTAAAGAAATACGATAATCACTATTAAGTTTTATATAAAAAACACCTATCACCAAAAACTGTGATTTTAAATTTAATGTTCTCATGGTGGTGGCAAAAGGATTGATATTTGTAACAAGAAAAAACTAAAAACACCATTTTGCAGAAATTTTTTTAATTGAAATTTTGCATTCAGATAAAGCTTTCAATTTTATTTAAGTTATGTGAATTTTATGCATTATGTATACTTACCCTAAATTATGAAGACCTAGGTATTTTACACTGATGTTTGTAAATACATAATTCTTTGTTAGTTAAGGTATATAAGATAAAATATAAACGTATTTAAATTTTTCAGGATCCTGCTGTCTTTGAAATTTGGAAAAGATCTATACCTCGAGCTGACAAAAAATTAAGAAATGTTGATTTCGTCTGTGCTAAACACTTTAAAGAAGATGACATTGAAAGGTTTTATGAAACAAAAATGCCTGATGGAAGCGTAAGTGTTATTATGACTTTTTTGAATTAAAAAAAAAAATATTTAGTTGTTGACAAAAATCATGATTTTTTTAATATTTTTAAAATCAAATTTATTGATTTCTTTATATTTACCAGCCAAATCATCTGATAAAGTGTATTAATTAATATTATTTAAAAGTAATAATGTAGCTAGAATTGTTAATATTTCTAACTATTTTTTAATTATTACAAATTTCTCACTGAATGAATAAAATCTTGATTATTTTTGTTCGAAGTTAAGATCCATTGGCTGCTTGTCAGTTAGATATCCAATGAAAAGTAAATTAGCTTAGATCAAAATGCATTAATGAAAAATTATTCTTAGCTGCTCTGGGCAGAATGCTATTAATTATTTGTACACTAACTAGATATTTAATAAGTTTTAAAGGCATTTGTATTTAAATAAACATAAAATTAAATGCATATAATTGAAATATGTTTATTACCAGCATATTTTTCATACAGTTAATGGAAAATTATAATTTGAAAGTTCCACATCACTTTTATCTGCCTTTAGTCTCTTCTTTTTCATTTGCTAATCTATTTTGAAATATAATAATTTATATACGCTGCATTTCTTGATTTATTTTTTGAAAAAAAAACTTTATCTATGTGATATCAGAAAAAAAGCTAAATACATTTTAAAAGCTATATGAAAGTATTTTGAACATGTTATGATTTTTAAAAAAAAAGTTGATTCAAATCGGTAAAAATTTTTTTTTTGTAACAAAAATCAAGTTATTTAAATTGCAACCTTTATCATAATATAAATTAAGTGATATAAATAGTTTTAACCCTTGGAAAGTAATTAAATCTCATTGCAGATTTTCCGACTTAAACGTGGTATGCCAAGGCTTAAACCGAGTGCCATTCCTTGCCTTTTTCCCGATATTCCAGGGCATTCTTCCTATAAACCAAAGGAATTTAAGAGTCCTAAAACCAAGAAGAAAAAGTTGAAAAAAACGAGGCTGACGAAGACCGTTTCTCCATCATCTCTTTCTCCTCTAAAAAAACAAAAATTTGGAAAATTGAAAACTTCCCTTTCAGGTAATAAATTTTATTTATTATTGAAAGTTACATTCTTAACACAGATTTTTATGTATTAATTATTATGTGCTAAGTAAAATTTAATTGCTATCTGCATTTTTTGGTTATTGCTAAGAACACTTTTTATTTTTGGCTATTGTAAAGAACCTTTTTTTTTTGTCTATTGCTAAGAGCACTTTTTATTTTTGTCTATTGCTAAGAACATTTTCATCTATTGCCAAGAATAAATGCTTATATTTGGTTTAGAAGATATAATGGTTTATTAAGTTAAACTTAATATCTCATTTCACCTAAGGACAACTTTTTTTTAATAATCATATTTTAACAAGTTTGAGAATTTTACAGATTCTTGATTTCCCCCCTTTTTTTACTACCATTTTCCTTTTTTTTTGTTGAGTATTTCGTGTATACTTGTAAAAAACCAGTACCATTCCATCAATAATTTTCTGCTGTGCACTTTTCAAACTCTTTAAAAGTTTAACAAATTTCAACCCATTAATTGATAAAAATTCACCTTAGCTGGATATGTGGCTATGATTAAGTGATTATAATGATTGGGGTGAGGTGGATGCATTTCTATGGTATTTTTATTCTAAACTTTTAATATTAATGTCTTTATTATGTAATTGTTGTTACTTATGCCACTTGCTTATCAGCAAGTCTCTTGAAATGAAGCAAATTTTTAAGGCAGAGGGTGTGTTTCTTGTTTTTCCAGTGGCGCCATCTGTAGCCAAGAAAACGACTTCAGCCACACACTTGTCACAGCCCGTTTTCCAGGGAGGACCCGATCATACCCTATTCATTTATCCACAGATAGTAGTTTTGACCTGAATCAGAGAACGATCAATCTCCAATTCAGTACCCCAAATGGATTTTTTTGCTATGCGAACTGGGAGGACTTCATGACACTGATAGATTTAACATGCACCAGTCACTATTTAATACACAGGGATTCTTCGGCCGGTAGGTCATGACAGTGGCGTACGCAGAATTTTTTCAAGGAGGGGGTTCATAATTTTCTGAAACTACTAAAAGAAATTCGAGTATGTAACAAAGCACTATTATTTCCCTATATTAGACAGCTAGACAATTTAGACTTTTTATTTAGACAACATTGTTTAGTTAAATTTTGATTTGATTTTTTAAGTTTAAGAACATATTTTTTTTTTTATAATAAGAGATAAAATATTTTATTTTTATTAAAAAGTAGGATTTAATCAAGCCAGAGAAAACTACTCATAATGTAACAGCTACCTTAATAATAACCGTAAAAATGTGAATATTCTATAGAAAATAAATGAATTTGACCAAAAAATAAGAAAAAATAAGTTACCAACAAATAGTGAATTAAACCAGCATACAAACTTGCTAAAAATTTATTGATTTATACAGTAATATCTAAAGGACGGGGTTTTTTTGCAAGTTCGTTTAAAATGTCTTCTACAGCTGGGGTAAGTTTTCTATGAATGTTTAAGAGCGCCTATCAATTCATTCTATTATTACCCGTTGAATTGCTATGCTACAATCTCAAAGTTTCGAGCTGGAATGAATAACTTCAACGATCACAGTATCTCCAGTGGTATTGTTACCTATTTCTTCACTAGTCGAAATAGTGGCGACGACGGGTTGGGCTATTGAATTTGGCTTTTTGTTAAGACAAAGCAAAACAGATTTAGAGACGAGCTCCGAAAGACAAGCGGCACAGATAACTCTTAGTCTGACTAACTAACTCCAATGTACTCCGTTTCCCCTTTTATATAATTTTTCACCGCATGTCCAAAATTCTCGAATTGTCTCAAAGACTACAAAACGTCTAGAATTCCAGAATCATCGCGTAAAGACCTCGCGAATTCCAGCCAGTCTCGAAAACTATTGCGACTGGCAGGACAGAAAGGAGCCAGCGATCGGAGCTCACCCGTAACAGTATCACGTGAATTTGATTTCAAAAGTACAACCCTATTATAGAAAATTATTTTTTCAGTATTCTGAGAAATACCGTGAGAGAGAAAAAAGTAGGCATAAGGTAAATAAAAATACTTAGTCTTAAAAAATAATAGCCTGCATAATTTCTACTAAAATTTTTATTTTTGTCATTTTGTCTGAGCTCAAGGGGGGTGTTTGAACCCCTAAACCCCTCCCTTGCGTACGCCCCTGGGTCATGAACTCCTGTTCTCGTGAACATGAGCCCAATGTCAGGCTGTCCCAGCCTCATTTTTTATATAGTAATGTTATCTAATAAAATATAATTATTATAATTATCAAATAAAATATAATTATATAATAGCAATATTATTTTTATATAGTAATGTTATCTAATAAAATTTGCAAAATCCTAGAAAGATAAGCCTCATAAAAAAATCAGAAAAAATAAAGAATTATTCATAAAAACTTCTTAAAAAAAGTAAAGAATTATTCAGATCACAATTTCATGTTTGAAGTTTTGTGTAAATACCGGTTTCATGTCTGCAGCCTTTCCTTTTCTTCAACTGTCCATTTTATGTTACAATGTTTATGGCTACCTCAGTTGTGTTTGTAATTAGATTGTCTAAAATATAATCTCAAATTTTTGCAATGCTTACTTTAAAGGTTTGTGTGAATTATGATCTGATAAAAATACAGATATATTCTGATATAATATGACTGTCTTCATGAATATGCATTATTAATATTCTTTAAATAATATTGATGTAATTACTTACTTTTGATTGTATTAATTGATGTTATAACTTATTTTTATGAAATATGGATAGACTAATTAAAGAAATGAAATTGTTTTTCATATGTTTAGTGAAAACTACTACAGTGTAACGTCCCATATCCGAACGTCCCTTTTCCGGTAGGATCGATTTCCCGAACACTTTTTAACTATCAAAATAAACAAACATCTCTTCATTTTCCCCTTTCTTAAAAAAAAAAAAAAAAGTCTTTTGACACGTTTTTTCTTCTAGCTTGCACTGAACCCCTGATTTATGCATTGAACCTATAAATCACAAAGGGGGAGAGAAGATCAACCAAGACCATTGAGTGACCGTTAGTGACGTTCCTACTTATGAATGCAGGGAAGGAGGGAGATTTGTTTTCATAAGACCGCAACTGAGTCCCCTCCCCCCTACTTTCCTATGTAGCTGGCTGGTGAAAGAGGCAATTCCTGGAACCAAGAAAAGGGTAAACACAGCAAGCGTTAACGTGGAGGGGGAGTGAAAATGGAAAATTTGAATAGGTCTAAAAGTGTGTGCGTCCTTGAGAAACATTAGTTCTTCCCCTGACCATGTAATATTTAGGAGGCAGGGGAAAAAAGGGATTAGCATTCTTTCTTTAACAGATTCTTTCAGTCATACAAGAAAAAATAAAGAGAACCCCATCAGCGTGCCCCGCCTTTATGCTTGATTGATAGCCAATGATTGGAGAGAAAACAATAATTTGTCACTTCCCCGCCCTCAACTTGAATGATCTACTCTTTACACTTATTTTCTTTCACAAATAAGGAGGAAATGAATTTTTCTCCTCCACCTACCTACCTTAATGAATGACGGGAATTTCCCTTTCTTGCTTGAATCGTTCTAGTTAAAAATTGAAGAATATTGCTGACATGTTGAGAATATTGCTGAGCCTGACTTTAAGCATATATGGATACTGACGGATAGCAAATCTTCAATCCAACACCTTAGCAACTGGATGAATGTTGGAGACAGGGCTGCGGCTTCAATTTTGGGGTTGCTCCTCAGGCTCTCAGCGGACTTTGGGGTACACTTCCAATGGATTCCATCACACGTTAGAATCAAAGGTAACGAGATGGCGGACTCACTGGCTAAAGATGCTTCTTTAGAACCTTTATAGCCAGATTTACCTTCCACTTTCAATGAGGTCTTTGCAGAGTGCAAAAAAATGTTTATGGACCTCTGGAGGGTTCCTCCTCCGCATTATTGGTATTTCAGAAAACGACCTGGAAGTGCCTTGCTTTTTGGGGGACCTAGAAGACAGCAGACTTGTTTGTCTTGCTTTGCAAGTGGTCACTTGAGGTGTCTCTCGAAGGTTCAGAGGCAAAAGACTTTTGGACTTTGCACTAAATGTAAGACTGCTCAGGCTTCGCTCGAGCATATTCTAAACTGCATCGATTTTAAGATTGACGAGGTTTTTTCAAAACCTCATCTGTTTTTAGACTTTCTGGACATTTTTGGACTTATGGAATTGGTCTAATTAGGATGGACCTCTTGGGGATTAGAAACAACAACACAACAGTTAAAAATGGCTGATTATTATTTTCATAACTGTAAATTTTTTTTCGTTTTCTATATTTTAAGCAACAATTTTTTTTCTAATATTTCATATTTGATTCATTGGATAATCTAATACTAAAACATTATTCCCTTTAAAAATGATGTTTATTTATTTTTTGCTTCTTAGATTTAGATCATTTTAAGCTATGTTCCAGAATGACGTGAATTTCCCCTTCCTGTTTGAATCGTTCTAGTTCAAAATGGCGGATTAATATTTTCATAACTGTAAAATCTTTTTAGTTTTCTAAATTTTCAGTAATATTTTTTTTTCTAATACATATTTTATATTTGATTGATTAGATATTCTAATACTAAAACTTTATTCTCCTAAAAAAAAATGTTTATTTTTGCTTAGATTCAGATCGTTTATTAGATCATTTTAAGCTTTGTTTACTTTGGGGATCTATTATGCAGAAAAATCTATTATACGGACTTCTGGAAGTCCCACCGATTCCGGATACGAGAGTTTGCAAGAAATAAAAATTTTTACTTGTTCCTTGTCTTTATAAAAATGCTTTAGGCCTTGCTTCGTTCTTCTCAAGAATTTTTCAAAGTGAGAAAGGTTAGCAAATTAAGCAAAATAATCAAAGAAACATGATTGAATACACAATGGAAAAGTTAATGTTGAACTACAATTCTAATGCTATGGTCATCAATTTAATTTTCCTTCAAGATGTAATTGGCTCAAATATTTGTCAACCAATGAATTAGCCACCCTACGTCAGATTTCAAGTCAACACTTACCCCTTCCAAAAAAAATATTTTTTTTTTGGCATTCATTAAAATCCTCTTTTACTAAAGTTTTGTAATTCATACCCTATTTTATCAGTTGCATGTCAGTGAATCGTTTTAGGAAGTATTTGCATGTTTAAATGTATGGTCTTAAAGTAAAAATTATCACCATTAAGTTAATTATCAGAGGAATTTTTCCTTATTGTTTTAGGCAAAAGTTAACATTTTGAGAAAATCACCCATTCTTAGTTTTTTTTATAAACAATACAAATAATTATAAGTTGATTATACATAGTTTCTTTTAAAATTTTTAATTAAAAAAAGTTTTTTTAAAAAAAAAAAAAAACTTTTTAAGTAATTAAATCATTAATAAATGTATGTATTTTATTTTTTACAGAAGAGGAAACTAAACAAAAGAAAGAATCTTCAATTCAGTTAGGAAAAGAAAATATCTTATTTGAAGGCATAGTTTTTCATCCTATTGCACAGAATCTTCCAGTACAGCAGACTATGTTTTTAAGAGAAGATGCTGAAAATGAAATGAATTTCACACCTTTACAAAACTGCTCAATTAATGACTCTGAATCTTCTACAGTAGATGACCTTGAAAAGGAACATTCTGTTCCAAGTTTATACGAAGTTATTCTAAATGAATCAAACGTAATTATTCCAAAGTCTGTCGTAGAGGAACAATTTTCCTTTAATTTTTTAAAGATAAATGTAAATATGATTGACACACTGAATTCTTGGTGGAAAGTGAATGTTCTAGATGATTTTATTTCTTTTATCCGTTGGATGCCTGATTATACGGTTGAAAGGAAAATAGTGATTACTAGAGATCTAGCTGTAAAAGTAAGTGATTTCACCATTTTTATTTTGTAAAGTTTTTTACAAAGTACATAACTAATCTGGATTTTGCCATTCTCTCTGTATTCTAGCTTATTCTAAAAGATCTCCTAATTTTCTTTATGTCTTAAAAAACTACCTTAAGACACATTACTGAAAAAATCTATCGAATCAGATTTTTCACGCAGTTTATCGATTGATTTATCTAGGCATAAGAAGTAATGATGCCAATATTATTTAATATTATTGCTCAGTCGTAGATGAATAATTTAACAATAACATGTTAGAAGAAATCTTTTCTTATTTGTTGCTTTGTAATGCATGTGCTCTGAAACTCTTGCTAATTGGAATATTTTGTCTGCTTGTCAGTTGGATTAGCGATTTCGTCTAGCGTGTTAACCTTAGAATTCAATCATCAAATTCTTCAAGGTTTTATTTATTTTTAGTACTTAAGCTTTTATGCGAGCTTCAAGACGCATAGTTTCTTTTCCCAACTATTTTAAAAGTTGAAGTATGTTCTAAGTCTGTTTTTATTTTAAAGTTTTTAATGAATAGTTTCTTTTTTCAATTTAGTTTTATTTCATTATTCGACGGCTCATGTTAGTTTAATTCATGTTAGTTTTCCCCCACAATTATATATAATTATTCCAAAGTCTGTGGTTAGAAAAGCAATTTTCTTTCTGATGGAAAATTGAAATGACTTCTAAATGGCTTCATTTCTTTTGTTTGTTGGATTGTACACATGAAAGCTAAATAGTGATTACTAATGATTTAGCTGTAAAAGTGATTTCTTCATTTTGATTTTGTAAAGTTGTTTACAAAATGCATAACTAATTTGGATTTTGCCAGTTTCTTTCTGTATTCTAGCGTATTTCGAAAAGTATTCCTATTTTTTTTATATTTTAAAAAAACTTGAAATGAAATGAAATTTTACCCCCCCCCTCCAAAAAAAAAATATATCAAATTAGATTTTCCATGCAGTTTCTTGATTGATTATATAAGTAGGTATATCAAGACATAGGAAATAATGACACAAATATGATCAGTCTTGTCTATTTGCTGCCTTTACATCTCAATAAAGTGAGATCGATTCCAAGATGTAGAACCAGTTTTCTATCTCTGTGAGAATAGAGCGCTGGTTTTACATATTGCAAATATCTCCTTCTGCTAAATAGTAGAGAAAGTAAATAAAGCTTTTCATTTCTAAGATTTTCAGTTTTTTTTTATTCAAAACTTTCTATTCTCAAATTAATTTAAGAATATTCATGTTTTAATTATATACATTAATTTCATATTTATTTCTAATCTAAAATATAATAAAGGTAACTAAACCATTTTATAGAAAAATTTATTTAATGTTAGTCAAAGCTAAAAAATAATGCAGTCAACTTATGTTTTGCAATATATGAAAAATAGTTTTTGATTTTTCAAGACTTATCATTTTCTGAATCACCCGCCAGGTGTCCGAGCAGTTAGCGCGCCTGAATGCTAAGCTATGAGCTCGAATCCCACTTAGGGCATAGGTGTTTCTCTCTATGAGTTGTTCTCTGTTGTGTAAGGATGTGGCCCACCATATGAATGGGTATCGTTCACATACCATTTATCAATAAAATAAAATGCGTGAAAAACCAATAATAAATAAAAAAGAGAAAATTCTTCCTCTCCCCAATCCCTGTAGTGATTGGAAAGAGAGGAGGCTAAAAACCAGTTTCAAAAACTTCTGCTGCGTGTCCCTAAATGTTGTTTTTTCCTTTATACACCACACCAAACCTTGGAAGACTGGTTTACACTATGCCTACGGGAGCTAGCCTTCTTCCCCTATATTTTTTGCCTAAATTACACTTTAACCAGACGTGCCAACTCTCCCGCATTTTGCGGGAGTCTCCCGAATTTTGAGTTATTCTCCCGCCCTCCGGAATTGATTTGAAAAACTCCCGAATTTTACTGCGATCGACGGCCAAACTCAAAATTACCTAATTTTTCCGCGAGTGCGAAGGTAAGTTTTTCTTTCAGCTTGAATTCCATCCCCTCTTATCAAACTACCATCTGCCTGAAGCGTAGCTGAACATGCTTTATTTTCCCCCCTCTTCAACGTTACCTCTAAAAACACTCCTATTTCACCCGCCCCCTTACACTGGGGGCGGGTGAAATCTTCCTCTTCTTTCGTGTGGAGTTGAATGCAATGACGTCACATGTCGTTATCGAGTGACGTCCGTTCAGGAGTGGGGAAACTCGTACTCTCGATAGTTGGAATTGATATTGTATCTTGCTGTTTTTATAGTTTTTAATGCGTATTTTTCCACGGTTGGCAACAAGCTCGTAAACTAGCAACGTGATATCAATTATTCGTTTAGTCTTCGTATATTTAAAAAAAAAAAATTTCAAGGATGTCTTAAGTCGAAACGGAAGTATGGATCAATTTCAACAAATCATGTACCAATGACTTTAGCAAGACTTAATTGCGGAGAGCTAAGTCTGCAACTCTTTTTTTCATGCATACAGTAGAGAACCATTTATCTGGTATCCAGATAATCCGGAAAAAAAATTTGCTCGGTTCTCCCGCCATTTTGAACTAAAACGATATGAAAAAA